TGAATCGATATCTGTTAATCTCAGACTGAGTACAGGGCGCTCGGTATATTTCCAGAAACATTTTTTCTCCGGCTTCTGCTATAACATCCGGAGTTGATGTTGGGTCATAAAATACAGTTGCTATTTCTTTAAGTAATGGCTTTTGATCATAAAGCTTAATAACTGATATTTTGCCCTTCCTGGAAATAGCTGAGGTTGTATCACAGCCACTAAAACTATGCAGAAAGAGAATAGAATCACAAAATGCTTTTCATCTTTGCCAAAATACATGAAACAAAATTTATCACTTTTAATGCTATGCATCTCCTAAAGTATTGATCGTACAGTAAACATGTTTAGACATATTCTGTAGGGAATTTAATGCAGATAATTAATATAGAAGTCACCAAAGAGATATTATGAATAGTTTTCGAGCCACAAGCAAAACACTAGAAAAAGAGACCTTCCCCCCCCTTCCCCTACCCCCGGCTCGTGTCCCTCCCTCGGGGGCTTTTAGCATATTCATCTGGACACCTTAAGGAATAACTATACCAACTTTCAAAACTACATGAATTATTTGGTCTGATCGACGATTTTGAAGCTAATTTTCTGTAACTATTTCATACATAATGTTAATGGATGCAAATCTGATGTATTTGATTTGGGCCTATCGGATCATTCAGCTCAATTATTAATTTGCCCCGTTAAATATAACCCTAAAATAAGGTACTGGTATGTTGAAAGAAGAGACAAAAAATATCATGAAATTTAAAAATTACCTCCGATTTCTTACATTTAATGATGTCTATGAAGAACTGGACCCAGACAATGCTTTTAACGAGTTTCATGATATTTTCATTCTTTTGTATAATTCATGCTTTCCCATAGTGAGAAGTAAACAATCAGTAAATTCTCGACCAAAATGGATAAAAAACTGTTCTAAAAGAAAACGCGATTTGCTATGGATATATAGGAGAACAAAGAGTCAAAATGATAAGGCTCCTTTGAAAATATACTCATAACGATTGAATCGAATCATTAAACGGACACAAAAATCACAAAACACCTATTATATTAATACTGCGTTTAATAAATCCAAAGCTACTTTGGACGTCATTAACAGAAGTAGGATGTCCATACCACAAAATAACATTACTCAAATTAATAGTCAAATAGTTCAATTGTTTGTTTTTCTGTTGCTCATACATCCACTGAGATTTATCACTTCGTCCTCGTTCAACTCTTTTTCTTTGATAATTTGAGATTGCCCTCAGAATTTCAGGACTGTCATTTGACTGAAAATTCGGATCTTCCACAGAGCCGTCGTTCCACAGAGGATATGTCTATAACCTCTGTAGGAGGCAATGACAACACTGAAAATGTAAATTTACAAGTTTTAGAGACTAAAGATGATAAAGATTTCAGAAGCCGGTGAGGTGCCGACGGTGGAATTTTAAATGCTCTGTTTGTTTCATAGTTTTCAAGATCGAAATTTGCTGTAGATGGAAGATTTTCCAGTGTCTGGTCTGAAGATATCATTGCAGACCATTCCGCTAGTCTATCAATATTTGGGTCCAACTATAACAAAGACGGAAATTCTTCTAAGTCAGGAAGGGTGATTAAGTCTTCTGGTGGCGAAGGTTTATTAAGACAAGCTGCTACTAATTTTCTGCCCCAAATCAAACATGTGTGCAATAAATCGCGTTGTCCATTTTCTTGTTCGATATCTCGATGGCGCCACATTTAAGAGACGATCAACAAGATCCTCCCATACTAGCATTACAGTGGACCTCCGGTAATCCGACAAAAATTATGCAGGGCAGTGTCGGATTATCGAATTTGTCGAATTATAGAGCACTGTCTAAGACCGCTATAGTCCGGAATTTTTTACAAAAGAGTACCTTGTAATCCGACAAATATAATTAATTAATGATTAAATCTGCGTGATCTACATTAGCAAAGATTGTCAAACATAATTCAAAGTCATGTCGGATTACAGGGGGCGCCGGATTAGCCAGGCCGGATTACCGGGGGTCCACTGTATATTGTTTAACTACTTCCGGTCTTGGGACAGTAATATACACTTTGTATCGTTTACACCATCTTTGGCAGGTGTCGGAAGTTTAGGCAGCATGCACAGTAGACAGAAAAGTGACTGGTTTGTCATCAAGCCATTTAGTTCTAGCTATATTCTTCTCATCGTTGACCAATACCTGACAACTCCCTCTCCCTGCTTTCTTTAAGACTTTCTCCTCTTTGAGTATTAATCTTGCGGACTTCGGTACTCTATTCTTCATCAATGTACCAGCGCACATCAAGTCTCTGTTTTTTAATTCCAAATCACTGTTTCGGTGGTGAAGTACATATCACAATAAACAATATGTCCCTGCAACAAATCCTTCGTTAAGGCACCCATAGAAAATACACATTGGCCAACGTTTAGTTTTTCTTTGAACAGAGTATTTTTTTGCCATTGCATCAAATACATCGACACCTCCCTTAGTTTTATTGTAAAAATTTATTATTTCTGGAAGCTCGACTGCATTATTCGGGTCAGGCGTATCGTGTAGCGTTGATAACATGATAACTACTTTCTTCTTCGTCGATCTTGGCGGGCAGTAGGACAACAGAGTGAGAGGACCATCATAGGCAAAAAAATAGCAGTATTTTTTTTTCTATTGGTCAACTCTAAAAAGGTTTCTGCTATTTCACCTTTATTTTTTCGCGTCGTGCCATTCGTGACCATGGTCAATTCCTTTACAGACAGAAGTTTAGCTAATGGTATACTGGTAAACCAGTTGTCCATAGTTATATTGCGACGGGATCCTATCAACGTTTTGCTGAGTTCCGTAACGTAGTACTCAGGAACAGACATATTTTGAATGGAAGGTGTTTGACCTACATAAGCCATGGCATTCAACATATAAGCAGTTTTAGAATCACACATCATTAATATTTTAATGCCGTATTTATCAGGTTTTGATGGTATATACATTTTGAATGCACAACGCCCTCTAAAAGCCAACAACTGTTCATCAATCGTACAGCAATCAGTTGGCGTATAATATTTTCCGCAATTGTTTACAATGTGATCAAAAAGTTCACGAATGGGAGCCAAGCGATCGGTAGCACGGCGTTCTTCGCGAGTATCCTTATCATTAAATCTCAGGCCATTTGTCAAAAAATCGAATCTATAACGTGAAATAGTAGCTCTAAAAAGCATCACTCCAGTAAATCTATCAAAAATCTCTTTCGTATTCATATCATTCATTTTGAACGTACCTGTCCAGTAATATAGTCCACTTAAAGCCTTAAACTCACTCAAGGATGTGTGTTTTACAAATGATGGTAATTTTGATGATGTGTTGCTCTCCTCTCTGTCTTCTTCGTCCTGGTACCCTTTGTATTTCTTACTTTGTTTTTCAATTTCTGCATTAGTATGATAGACAATTTTACTAAGTATTTTATCATTTAAATAAAGATTCCAACCTTCTATTGGCTTCGTGATATTTTTTGCTTCGCCTTTGTTACCCGGTAGATGCATTATAATGTTGCGCTGTTGAATTCTACGTCTAACTGGCTTTTCTCCGCTCCACCTGTATCTATTGTTTTTTCCTTTGCCGTAAAGAACTTTTGGGACATCAAAAACTTTTAGCTTGTTTTCTTTTCTTAAATTCTGAGATATCTCTAGCAACGTGATATCATCATCGCTACTAAAGGCATCTTCATCCATTTTTTCTGAATCATCTGCACACTCATGACGAAAATCTTCTATAATTCCATCAGGTCCATCATCAGATTCTTCAGTTTCCGGGCCACGATTTAACAGTTCTTCCTCATCACTCGATTCTTGATTTACTATTTTGTCTATTTCCTCAATATTCAATCCCCTTCCAGTAGCCATCTGGAGAAAAAACATCAAAAATATTGAAAAATGTACTGTTGCTAAATACTATAAAGTAATATTTTATAATGTATACATATATATCGACGCTTGAAAGGAAAAATTTACTAAGCGACATGTTTACAGGAGAACCATTTAAAGTATGATTTTTTAAATTTTTTATTATGTCAAATCACCTATTTATTGTATTGTCGTAGTTCCAACGAAATTTAAAAGCTGTTTAGACCCTTTATTATTTGCTATACATAGATTTCCGTTTAGCTTGCTAATTAATATGCCCGTACACGAAGCCAACAACACCACCAGTACACCATGAACGGGGAGCCGCTGCAGCGTGTCACGGAGGTAAAGGATTTAGGCATCCATTTCTCCAGCGACTTACAGTTTCGCAAACAAGTCGTGTATGTTTGTAAGAAGGCGTACAGGAATCTGGGATTTATGCTGCGTCAGGCAAATGATTTCACGAATACCAGCGCATTAAGGGCTTTGTACGAGGCTCTTGTGAAGAGTCATCTGGAATACAATGCGGTCATCTGGAGTCCGAGCGAAATAAAATATAAAACAATGCTCGAGCGGATACAAAATAAATTCATCAGATTTGTGTATGTAAAAATATATGGGATATATCCGGAATACCCGTTACTGTATCCCACCTTATTCTGTCTCGGGATGGTGGGGTATTACACATTAGAAGTCAGGCGTGAAGTGGCATCGGCAACTTATCTTCTGAAGGTATTGAGAGGTAGCATACAAAACTCTGGTATACTTTCAGAGATAGGTTTCTGTATGCCGGACGAGTACGTGACGCGGCGGCGCCGGCCCCCGCTGCTGGTGGTGCCGCGGGCGCGCACCAACCTGCTGGGGCGCGCGCCGCTCACTCGTGCGCTGCGCACGCTCAACACGGTGGCTAATGTCATTGACATATTTAACTGTACACTGAGCGAGTTCACAAGGACCACTTACTGTGTAGTATGTAAGGAAATATAATTTGTAATTTAAAGTTAAATAAGTTTATAGGAACTAAGTTTATTATAGGTAGTTATGTTGTTTATTATAAGTTTAGGGTTAATAGTTTAAGAAACATATTTTAATTTTTAAGTTACTGTGTCGAATTAGGTTAAGTTACCTGTAATGGCAAAATAATATGTAGAAATAAATAAATAATAAGTTGGTGTGCTTAGTAACATTTAAATTTAAATTACAAACAGGAAAAAAATGCCAACCGACAAGAAACACTTAATATAAAATAGGAAATAAGTCTTTCAAACATATTTTTTCAGACTTTGAGTGTGGAAAAAATGCCTAAACAACAATAACACGTTCTTATGATCAGAGTTAATTTACTTATGCTCCAGAAATAAGCTGCGTCCAACTGGGAATTTTTAACCAAGATACTAATTGTAGGTAGATCTAGACCAAGCTATTTTTTATACTTTGGTTTAAAAAGATAAATATCATAGCTCCTATGTATGTTAAATTAAGACAAAATAAAACAAATTAATTTCATAACCAAATTGTTTATTTTTAACGAAAAATCGACATAAACTTACAAATTAAAAAATACGTTTTAAAATAATACCACTTTACATTAAAATATGTCGCCCGCTCTAAAAGGCTATCAAAAATATTTTTCAAAAGTAAATTAGTAACAAAGTATAAAAAAATAATATAGCACTCATTGTAGCGCTTTTTATGGCGTGTGTTTAAAACGAATTAATGAATAACCGACAATAGAAAATAATACACTAACTTTGAATTTCTACTAAGTAAGTAAGTATAAGTTTTTATAAATCAATAATCAAATCTTGCGAATAACCTTAGAGAAAAGCTAGTAACACATTAAGGGCCGATTTTTCAATCGTCAGATAACTTTTACCTGAGAAATAAATATGACGTTTTGACAGCTTTTGTACGGCAAATCTGTCAAAACATCTATTTTATTCCTCAAATGATTGAAAAATCGGCCCTAAATCTTAGAACTCAGCATACTCACTTACGTAGCATACTTTTTATCCCGGAATTAAATCAAGAAATTTTTTATTATAAATATAACAACACAATGTCATCCTACAAATAAACTTATAAATAGTAACTCTTAGAGTTGGTAATGAATTGAGATCTATAATTATTCACTTTGGACATTTTTATCACTGTAATGACATTTTAAGTTCACAAAAAAATTGAGAATTTTTAAATCCTATCTAATTAAACACTTAACCTAATTAAAACTTGGTTGGTAAATTTTTAAGATTAGAATTACGCTTACTGAAAATATTATTGGTAGCAAAAAATCAGTCTTTAACTCTTTTATGGAAATATAAGAAATTAAGTCTTATCAGTTTCAACATCCTCGAGGTCTGATTCAGGCAAAGTGTCTTTTACTATTAAAGAATTTGGAATGCTGGTATACTCACATTGGAATGAACTTTGTCCTTACAAAGTTTAATTAAATCATCATATTTTGGTTTTGATATTGGTAGTTGAGATCGATAGCATGACATAAGAGGTACTTTAGTTTTTGACTGAACTTCAATTTCACTCGACTTTGCAGATTTGTTCATTGTATACTTTACATAAATCGTTGAAGGCTTATTTTTCTTAAATGTTGCAATCCTAATTTTATTTTTCCCGTCAAATTACCCTTAAAATATTTATCAGCTATAGAGTCCCATTTATAAAAATCCTCGTAACTAAGTTTTTCAACCTCGTATGGAAAAGGATCTTTTCTTGCCGTGGCGAACACAGTGTACCACTGCGACGGTGCATATATGATTGTTTTCTTTAGATTAGCTTCTATTACAGCATGAACACTATCAACGGGCATGAATGTATGACCAGTAAGTAAATAATTAATTTGTATTGTTTCAAGATTTTGGCATGTCTGCAAAGTCGAGTGTACCATTGCCAAGACTACCCGGTTCCGATTTTGGCCTGGGCAGCAGTCTCAGTAAAGTATCATGTTTTTTATGTTGCCTCTTTCATCGACAGATTTCATGTATTTTTGCAGAATACTGGCGATTTCATTGGCTCCTCTTTTGCCATTGCTCTCGTCCCAATAGAAACAAAACACTTTGCGTGTACCATTCTCGTAAAAACACAAGTTGTATACCGCTAATTTACGTGAATAATATAAGAGCATGGATTCGCCATGAGGAGTATTCAAGACCTTTTCCAGGTCAAAACTCACACATTCTTAAAAGATTACAAAATTAAATTAAATAGGTACGTGCCTTTTTTACTTTAAAGATAAAAAAGAGTTTGTTTTAGTGTGCTGGGATCACTTTTGTGAATATTTTTGTGAGCGAAGAAGCGATTGTAGCTTTCATTTTTCTCCATCTCATGAGCAGCTTTCTCTTCCAGTTTTACTGAATCTGTAGTATCAGACTGCTCAAATTTCAAGCATTTTAAACACTTGTCTTTTTTGGGGACATGAAACCCTATATTAAAGTCTTCTGTAAATATTTTACGAAATATTCTTTCGCTCACAAAATCTACTCCGTTATCCGCCGATTGTTTCTTATAAACGCTGTATAGATTTGAAATATTTTTGAATTCCTGTGGTAGATAGACCCGGGATGAATCATGTCGACAATAGTGTGACGCTATAGCAGGCAAACTTTTGATAAAATTAGTAACTAGTTCAATAGTTGCTAGTTTTGTTTTGTTTGGCGGTATAGATCTTCCACGTAAATCTTCCTTAGCACATCCCCATTCAGAGTTTTTTGCCGTATAGTAGATGGATTTTGATGAAATATTTAATGTAGCAGCCAAAAATTGCAAACATACGACCCTTTTCCCTTCTCCTTCATTGATGTGGTATTTAAAAGTTATATTCCGCTTATCCGAGCTGGCCCGTTTACGTTTTATAGTATGCATTTGTGTTAAACTAACGAGCCAGTCTCGTCGGCGCTCTGGTGAAAGTTTCCAAAAATGATCAAATATCTGTTGCCTTCTTTCTTCCAAAATATTTTCACAATTGTTACCACATTTTTTTCCACGACATGGGTTGGGTTGAACTGATTTGGAATTTACTACTTTGCCATCTTTTCGTGCATATTCATCACCAGTAGCTCTTCTTTGTTGTCGCTCCCTCTTTGAATTTTTTTTCTTTTGTCTCATAGCTGTTTCACCAACAACTTCTTCTTCTTGAATGTCATTCTCCCGTTTCTTTTTCTTCTTAGATTTAGATGCTCTCTTTTTTGTTAAACTCTCATTTATATCATCATCTATAGATGTCTCCGATCCGATCCATTCATCTGAATCAAAATCCGCACCATCATAATCCATAAATGTTGAAAAATCTTCATCAGATAAATAGTCTATGTAACGTTTATCGGTTTTACAATTTCGTTTGCGACATTTTCGACTAACAACTTTTGATCCTTCGTCAGGACGAACGTGCTCGTCAACTGTTGAATTTGTCGAGTTATCACTTCGTTGAATGGAGCCTGCAGTCGGGATGTTTGATGTGTTATTTAACTCATCATCTGCGATTTGGTTTATACTGGGCGTATCTGGGAGTTCTGATTCTACAAAACCTATATTTACTTGAAATGATGAACTAATTGTTTCAGCGCGTGTTATTTTAAGTGAGTCAGTTTCATCGCGTGTCATTTCAGGTGTGCCAGTTTCACTTCCAAAATATTTATCAGCTGCAATAAGTAAGTCATTCTTGATTGTCAACATTTTAGGTATAGATTCTTCGTCAACGTTGGATGTACTAGCGGTAATTGGGACACGTTCATTTATCAGGGATTCATCCTAAAAAACAAATATCAATTATATGCATACTATGAATTATCCTTAAGGTGAAAACGAACGATTTTGATGACTAGTATTCAGTAAATATATTATCCTTACAGTCGCGTCTAACATTTTGATCACGATACGACGTAAAACAGAGCTGCTATTCCCAAAAAACTAAAGGAAATTTGAATTTCGTGGACCGGATGTTCGCTTTCACCGCAATCCCGTTTTTATTATATTGGCACACACATTATATACCATTTATTACACATTATATTTATATTACATATTATTATATATTTACATTATATTACACATAAATAGACCATGACCACTTTTATATCACGGTATTCCCACGGGTCAGGATCTGCGCAGGTGAAACTGCGGGGCGTACCTTGTAAATTATAAAGCTATGTTATTATAATTATTATTCATTATCAAATATAAGTTTCTTGCGTACTTGCTTCTTCTGCTTTAAATTGTCACCATCCATATTTACGTTATAAGCGTCTGTATTAGTACTAAATATTTGTGAAGGAACGGAATTCTACAAAGAAAAACAACATAATAGTTAATATCACCAAACAAGTCAATAATAAATTGGTACTTAATTAGGTAAACGCTACCAAATTCCCTTCCACTTCAGATATTCCCGCATTCGTCAAAGCTAGGTCAATGATCTTGGACAAACGTCGATTTCTTCGATCCATCATTCTAAAACAATAATACCTATCTATTTAACACTTATAAAATTGGCTTTAAATAATAATAATAAAATATAGTTAAATTAATACACAGCAAGTAAAATTACAATAATATTTAAAAAAATACTTACCAAAGATCGTATCCAAGTGGCGCGAAAACGGGACGCGCGGGCTCACTAAACGACGATTCGTCGCACACTGATTGTGGTTTTGTTACTAACAGCCACACTAAGATCAATTCGCGTCAAGTCCAAACGACAACGCAGCCTACGTACAGGAAGTAACAACCATAATTTTGATTAAAATTTCTTCCCGCAAAAGATATATAAGCGCCAATATTAATATAAAAAACGGCAAGTCATATTTTCTTAAGCGCCATGTATGATTTAATATAAATGCAGGAATAAATTACTAAACGACATGTTTACGTAAATGAGAACAGGTAAAAAATGTCTAAATGCCAAATGGCTAATATTTAAGGTAGGGTAAAAATGCGGAAGCCGAAAAAATAAACAATTTTCTGAGAGGTAAAATTTGCTAAACGAAATTTTTTTTTTCGTGGAATCGGTAAAAGTAGACTAAAAACCAAAATAATTTTAATCGAAGTCATGTCAAATTTACTAAGTACAAAAACAGTTATGAAAAAATGTCCCAAATGCATTATTTTTTTAAAGGGTAACAAACTTAGTCGCTTGGTTACCGAAAACTATAAAAAATTAACAAACTGAAAGATATCTAAGCGACATGGGAGTAAGACCAATCGACGGGGGATTTTTTTGCGTACCTAACGATGTATATAACTCAATATAGGCCAAATTGTCGCTTAGTCGATTTTTCCTTTCAAGCGTCGATATGTAATTTGATATTTTTATTTTACAACATAACCTCAATAATCAAAAGTTCAACTCACAATAATTTTATTTATGTAAGAAGCACAATTACTGCAATAAATAAAAAATCAAAAATAAAATAATAGTAGCTTGCCATGCACTTTGAGTTGGACAGTCAAGAAATCTACTCACGTAAGCAGTTGAATAAGTTATATCAGGTCTTGTCATCATCGCCAGGTAATTTAAGCTCCCAATCAGCTCAGACTCAACTCCTCGCCCTTGACAAGCACACTGGTTTTTACCTGTTTAACATTTGGCGTTGTGAATTTAATATATTTAGTTCTCTGAGAGAGCACTGTTTACATTGTCAATAACTGATTGTCGCCGTCTAAGTTTGAATAACAGAGATGTATTATCAGCAAACAGCACTATCTCGTGTTTATCCCTTACAAAGTAAGGCAAGTCATTAATATAGATAAGAAATGAAAACGGGCCGAGAATAGAACCCTGTGGAACACCTATCTTCACAACAGACCCTGCAAAAACCACTCCGTTTACTTCAACTCTCTGAACCCTATTTCATAGGTATGAAGTAAGAAGGTCCAGAGATGCGCCTCTTATTCCGTAATGAGATAGCTTCCTGATCAGTGTATCATGAAGCACAAAATCGAACGCCTTGGATAAATTACAAAATATTCCCAAAGCGTCGCTTGAGTCCTCCCACGCGTCGTAAATGTGATCAAAAAGCTCAACACATCAGGCATCTGTTGTTGAACATCCGAACCATGTAAATCCGAACTGTTACGCATGTAATAATTTATTTCTATTAAAAAATCTTTGCATTTGATCTAAAATTTTTTTTTCAAAAATTTTACTGATCTAGGTCTTAAGTAAGTGGGGTCAGAAGTACTTAGGGTTGCCAACATTTTGTCTGTATATTGCATTTTTTTATAAAAGCCAAAAAATATATAGTACGCTTCATAAAAATATAGTATTTTGTTTAATTAAAAATTAGGGATCCGTAATAAAATTGCTTTTTACAAAATTAACACAAGGAGTATAATCGAAAACCCATTTTTGCGTGCGCTGCAAAAACTATTAACAATAGAACAAAATAATGTACGACGGGTTTGTAGATTCCATTAAAACCTACAAAAAAGTCCGCGAGAGCATACATCTAGCTATCGTGGTATATTCACAATAACCGATTTTGTATTTAAAATAATTATTAAAAGGAAAAAAAGCGTTAAATATGTATCGCAACATTAATCTTATATTAATATTTTTTGTTTCCTCTCAATCGGTATTTCGTTTTAAAGTTATCACGTGTGTAAGATGTTAAGAGTTGGTACCTATTATTGAGTTATAGACTATAGAGCTTTCTATGAACATAAAATCCTGTAATAATCTTTTTCGAAATATATTTGTTGATGATTGTAAGTATAAGATCTTGGAAGAGTATAAGAAATACATTTCTAAACTAACTTTGCTAAGGAAAAGGAAATCCACACCATAATTTGGATCCTTTAGAAATATCGTTGCAGAAGCCATACAATGTAAATTAATTAAATGATTATCACAATAACCGATTTTGTGTACAAAATAATCAATAAATCGTCTGAAGAAAAAAACGCGTTAAATATATATCGTAATATTAATTTTTATCGAAAAATAAGCATTGTGTTATCAAGAGTATTTATTTAGAAGTAAAATACTTTTTATTTCCTCTCAATCGGATATTTCGTTTAAAAGATATCACGTGTTTAAGATGTTAAGATTTGGTACCTTATCAACATAAAATCCTGTAATAATCTTATTCGATAAGTTCTTGTTGATGATTGTAAGTATAAGATCTTTGAAGAGTGTAAGAAATACATTTCTAAACTAACTCTGCTAATGAAAAGGAAATCCAAGGAATATCACACACCTTAATTTGGATCCTTTAGAAATGTCCTGTGTAAATGAATCCAAGTTATTTAATGACCAGGTATGGCATACAGTAGTGTTATGCACAGGGTTCGTTTCAATGAGGGAAATAAATTTTTTTGGTTGCTCCAGGCGGAACCGGCAAAACTTTCATTAATAATTTGATATTAGCAAAAGTAAGGTCTCAGGGAAAACTAGCTTTGGCAGTAGCGTCATCAGGAATCACTGCAACTTTATAAGCTGGCGGACGCACAGCTCATTCCACTTTTAAACTGTCCCTAACCGTTCCGTTACAGAAAGATAGCGTGTGCTCTATTCGTAAAAATGGCTCTTTAGGCAAAGTTTTGTAAGACGTCACTTTAATAATATGGGATGAATGTACCATGATTCACAGAGGTCATGTGGAGGCTCTAGATAGGACTCTTAGAGATATTAGAAGCTGATTACTGTCATGTTTGCTGGGGATTTTCGGCAAGCTTTACCTGTAGTAATAAGAGGTAGGAGAGAGTAGACATTGTAAAAATTTGCACTAAAAGTTCTCTATAATGGAAATTTGTTCATAACTTAAAACTATCTACTAACATGAGAGCACATTTGGGAAGAGGTAGTGCAAATTTTCCTTTGAAGTTACTTTTAATTGGCGACGGAAAAGTCTTCTATTAAAGGAAATAAAATACCAAATGATCAAGGTTTAGGAGAAAAAGTTACTACTAAAGTGACTAAGAGTTTAAAATCAAAAGTTTACCCAGATATTGTCGAAATAGATAATAAAGATTATCAATGGAAGTGTTAACGAGCAATATTGGCGACGAGAAACACTAGTGTTGACGAAATTAACGATTTAACTTTAACTAAACTTCCAGGGGATATAGTCACCTACATATGTAATGGATAAAGAATATGCAATCCATTATCTACAGGATTTTTTAATTCTTTAAACCAGAGGGGCATTCCATCACATTCTCTCATTTTAAAAATTGGTGCCCCAATTATTTTACTTAGAAACCTTAAGCCACCAAAATTTATGTAATGGGACTCGACTTCAGATTAAATTTCTTCGCAATAACGTGATCGTTGCAACAACTCTGACTGGTCCAGCGGTTTCCGTCAAACAGTATTTATACCTCGGATCCTAATGATTCCAAATGATTTGCCTTTACATTTAAAAAAAATACCAATTCCCAATTAAATTATACATTTTCAAATTATATAATTTGTTCTGTATGCCATTCTCAATATCAAAATATTGCACAACTAATGAGAATAGTTTAATATTTTTTCTATTACTGGCATCAGTTTGCAAACAAAAATATGCATTAGGGTCATTTAAATCTTTCAGTAAAGTTTGTAAAGCATAAGACCCCAAAACCTCGTTAAGGCATTTTATTCCGAAACTTTAGGCATTTTACGCACCGAGACGGCTTGCGCCCGCGTTGCACAGGAGCCGTCGCTATATGACCTCTGGTGACCTGTGGCGGCGGTCCACTGCACTATTGACTGTTAACACTAATACACTTATTTATTATTTTACTTATTTATTGCTCGGTAAAATCATCAAATGAGTTCTGTCGCTCTGGGTGGAGCGGAAGGGACTGTCAGACTTGTACTGACTAAAATCCACCGTATTCCTTCGGTTGCCTTTTGCGTTCCACTAATACACTTATTTATTATTTTACTTATTTCATCATCATCATCATCATCATCAGCCGGAAGACGTCCACTGCTAGACAAAGGCCTCCCCCTTGGCTCTCCACGTCGAACGACAAGTTGCCACCTGCATCCATTGGCTCCCCGCGACTCTGACGATGTCGTCGGTCCACCTAGTGGGAGGCCTGCCCACACTACGTTTTCCGGTCCCTGGTCGCCACTCTAGGACTTTTCGGGCCCATCGACCGTCCGTCTTTCGAGCGACGTGGCCTGCCCATTGCCACTTTAGCCTGCAGATTTTACGAGCTATGTCGGTGACTTTGGTTCTTTGGCGAATTTCCACATTTCGGATTTTGTCGCGCAAAGAGACCAGAGACCAGAGAAGGCCAGAAGTTAAGGACCACGTCTCAGTACCATACGTCATCACCGGCAACACACACTGGTTAAACATCGTGGTCTTCAGGCACTGTGGGATTTTCGATGAGAAGACATCGTGTAACTTCCCGAACGCCGCCCATCCGAGTTGGATTCTTCGGGCGACCTCTTTCTCGAAGTTGGACCTACCTAGCTGAATGATCTGACCAAGGTATGTGTAATGGTCAACAACTTCAAGGATGTCGTTCCCAACAATGACCGGTACAGGTGCAACATGGACATAAGACATGATTTTCGTCTTGTCCATGTTCATTTTCAGACCCACCGGTTGGGAAACGACATCAAGGTCGATGAGCATGGTGTTCAGGTCCTCCAACGACTCTGCCAAAACGACTATATCATCGGCGAAGCGCAGGTGAGTTATGTATTCGCCATTGATATTGATGCCAAAGCCACTCCAGTTCAAGAGCTTGAAAACGTCCTCCAATGCGTTCGTGAACAGTTTCGGAGAAATTACGTCTCCCTGCCTCACGCCTTCCTGCAATTGGATTGGTTTTGTGCAGTCGTCCTGGAGCCGAATGAGCATGGTGGCGTTTCTGTACAAACACCTAAGCACGTCGACGTATCTACAGTCGACATTTACTTATTTATTGCTCGGTAAAATCATCAAATGAGTTCTGTCGCTCTGGGTGGAGCGGAAGGGACTGTCAGACTTGTACTGACTAAAATCCACCGTATTCCTTCGGTTGCCTTTTGCGTTCCAAGGCCACGGTATTCTGATAAAACAGTCACGTGAATGAAAAGGCAGGCGATGATCATTCTGTAGAACTTAAAGAATGGTTGTAGAAGATTTGGTGGGTAATATAATGAAAGACTAATATGATTAATTATGATATAGTATAATAAAATAAAAAATAAAATATTTATGTACCAGCATAAAAATTAAAATTCATAAAAAATTAGTGGTCGTGTGCTAGGTCCAGGTTCAGTTTCATCGACCGATACATTCCTTAATGCTGGGCGCGAGTCTCCTCTAAGAGGATCAAAGCCACAATCCTTATGGCACTCCCCTCCGAATTGGGAACTAGGACCTGATAGCAAATCAGGATTGTCTTGCGTTAGAGATTCCTCATTTTCCTTATTTTCGGATGATTTGTTCTCTTCAAGTGTCAGATTTCTTATGCTCATACCACGCGTATGTCTGGGGTTCACGATTTTAGGGAGTAGGGTAAGGTAAGGTAGTATTTATGGTAAAATCGTATTAATTTGGACTGCATTTAAGATTTCCAAAATACATCATCTCTTTCAATTATTTCGATGTGGACTGGCTCTTTTTCTCCGGCCCGAATTCCAAGTAAACATTGCCGTCGTCTTGCCACATGCAACTGTCCCTGTATTTGGTAAAACCAATTACTATTTTTATTAATTGATGTAGTGCGCGTTTTTTTATCATGCCAATTTTTGATGCTGAAAAAGGACATTTGACTTCTACCAGAATGTCAGTTCCAATGAGCCCATCTGGCGTAGCACCAATGAATGGGCAATATATATTTATAAACAGACCACAAGGCTCAATAGATACGTTTTCTTGTTGTTGTATCTTGTGCAATGCTTGCTGCTCATTTTCAATACCGTAAGCAATGGATGCAACACGGCCTAAATTTGTTTTATACAATATATTTTTTACTAATGGTGCGGTATCTTTTGATACTTGCCTTTTGCAAATAGGACCGAAATTAGAGGCAGTAATAAGATTTTTTCGAATTTCTAGCCATTCGCTACTGTCTCTTTGTAATATTGTATTACGCTCAATCGCGTCCTTGTCAGCAGTAAGAATTTCTAAGTTTTTTAGAAATTCTTTAGCTACTTATAGTCCAGACAGGGTCATATCTGGGTCTAAACTAGCGGGGCCATAGTCATTTTGTTTTTTTTTTTTAGTGTCTGCCAATTTCCTGATTTTCCTTTTAGCTGGACGTTCAGAGTTGTTTTTTCTTTTCTGGGCCTCTTCTCTTTTCCTTTCCACAACTTCAACTAATCCCTCTTCTGGTCGATTTTTATTTCTTAAGTGTTTTTTATAAACTATATTGCTGACTTTTCATTAAATTTTACCACCGCAGCATTACACCTTGCTTGAAAGCCTCGTTTCATGGCAAAATTAATTCGTTTTCCTCCTATAAACTTCGCAATGACATTGTTGAAACATTCGACAAGATTTGTATTTACGTTCTCTATTAAACTTCGTGATTTTACTGCCACATTAGAAATAATCGAATTTATCCGGAACAGAAATGTTGAATTTCGAATGGTTTTCAGTCCGTCGCTATACAGTTTTTCTTTGTCACAGTTGTAATCCTGACACATCCTGTGATCGCCGTATGCATGCGCTACAGAATTGATTTTATCACTGTGAAGAATAGTTACAGCATCGTCCTTAAGATTTTTATTATGGTGTATAACTGACCTTACTATTGCTTTCCTCATGGACATAATTTTCACATCTGTTAAAGTTTTTCGGTGAGCTAAAAGGTATTTTGTTTCTGGAACTAGACTACGTAATTTTTTTGCATAAATTTCTCAATATGTGATTTCTGCATTCAATTTTCTCTACTGTAATATTTTGATCTTTATATAGATTTTCTTTTAGTACTTTTGCGTATGTCGAGGCGTCTCCGTCTGCAATCATTTATTAAATAAATCTTTTATAAATTATTCGATACATGGAAATGGAAAGTTTGAAACCCTCGGCAATTATTTGGCCCTCCATTGAACAAGATGAACCATGGAAATTTTTAAAACATTTGTGTTCGTTAGGAGCGACATTTTTGTTCTCAGCGCGTGCGCACACGAGGCAGTATTTATTTTTTACAGCCAGAAAAAATATTTTACCTGTTTTTCTACCGATAATTGCTGCAGTATCAGATGCAGCTTTATAATTCGATCCATACAATCTTGCACACCAAAAAGCGTCCACGTAAACATCAATTACTGGTATGCCATTTTTGGTGCGACCTTCTGCGATAGCCAATTTCTTTTCTTCTTCTGCAGCATCTTGCATCGATGCGGCTGCTGTTTTTTCACAACATTCGTACACTTTATTCTGGAGTTGATTGTAATAATTTGTAGAAAATACAGGAATGTTCATTGCAGAAAATAGCTCTTCGAATTGTGAGTAGCCAATCCCTGTTGCTACCATGCCTGTGGTGGCTGCGATATTTACATTAACTTTTGACTCAGTCTTTTCGGACATTCAATTACTGAAATTAAGCCAATTCTTTTTTCACTAATTAGCTGAAAATTTCCCAGTTTGCAGTCAAACAAGTTGTTGTGACGTGATTTTTCTTGTTATTGACTAAATAAATAATTGATATAAATAACGCGTCGTCCTGTCACTGTTAGGAACTGGTCTTCTTGAATTTCAGGTTCAACGTTATAGTAATCATCTTCTTCTTGATTTTCAGTTTCAACAATCACGGAATTATCTTCGTCATCCCTAGTTTTTCTGCAACAATGGAATGTCATTAACGTAATGAAACGGATTTGGTTTCAAAGTCACTAAAATAAACTTGAACAAAAAATTATTTACTGCCATGTTACATCCCATAATAGGAAACATAAGACATGTAATAAGTAAGAAAACTAAAGCGCGACGGGAGATAAGGTCAAATTTGTAGCGGGTGGATAACATTGCTCAGCCATAGTATATTATGTAATATGTATATAATGTACTTGCGCATACTGTCCCTCTTTAGTGTGCCCGTCGGTACTTGTTTTGGACATCAAAGTACCTTTTCCGGTACGTGGTCTCAGAGCACTGGAATGGAATAAATTTCATTACATATTTAAAAAAAAACTAACGAACACAAATTTCATTAGGTATAATTCATCATCTTCATTTCAGCCGAGAGACGTCCACTGCTGGACATAGGCCTCCCCCAAGCGTCGCCGCAACGACGGTCCTGTGCGTCCCGCATCCATCGGACTCCCGCAGCCCTCATCAGATCATCAGTCCACCTGGTGGGAGGCCTCCCAACACTTCGCCTTCCGGTGCGCGATCACCACTCCAGAACCTTCCGGCCCAATCGGCCATCTGATATTGTAGTCATGGCTGAGACTACGGAGCTCAGTACAATGCTCGATGACCTCAGTAGAGCTTCCGGAAAAGTGGGCCTAAAAATGAACACGGACAAAACCAAAGTCATGGTAAATAGCCATGTAGCACCCACTTCTATCAAGATCGGACACTCTACACTCGAAGTTGGGAACGATTACGTTTACCTAGGACAGACCATCCTGTTGGGTAGGTCTAACTTCGAGGAGGTAAATCGTCGAATCCATCTCGGCTGGGCGGCGTTCGGGAAGCTGCGCGGTATCTTCTCATCCAACATACCACAGTGTCTCAAGACGAAAGTCTATGACCAGTGCATGTTGCCAGTGATGACATAGGGCTCTAAAACGTGGTCGCTTACGATGGGCCTGATCAGAAGGCTTAAAGTCACCCAAAGGGCAATGGAAAGGGCTATGCTTGGAGTTTCCTTGCGTGATCGCATCAGAAATGATGATATACGCAAGAGAACCAGGGTTGCCGACATAGCTCGAAGAATCGCCAAAGTGGCAGTGGGTAGAGCACATCGCTCGGAGAAAATATAATTAAATTAATATAATAATAAAAATTAATTTAATAACTTCATATTTCCAATGAGTAGAACACGGTCATAAAAAATATATCTTTATGATATTATTATAATAATTTAAAAATATAAATTTCTTCATTATTATGACGCATGACCGTACCGTAGAACCATGTCGCGTATTTTAAAAGACGACTTAGGACTTGCAGCCTATAAGAGACGCACTGGACATTTTTTAAATGATAATTTAAAAAAGAATAGGGTGATAAAATCTAAACAACTACTGAAGCGGTACGCAAAGGGAGGTCACAGAAAAAATTTGTTTACGGATGAGAAAATTTTTACAATTGAGCAACATTTTAACAAACAAAATGACCGTATTTATGCTCAAAGCTCTAAGGAAGCTTCTCAATTAGTCGACAGACTGCAACGTGGCCTTTATCCGACTTCAGTGATGGTTTGGTGGGGTGTTAGCTTTGAAGGAGTGACTGAGCCATGAGTGACTTTTGCGAAAAAGGTATCAAAACATCGGCACAAGTGTATCAAAATACCATTCTTGAGAAGGTAGTTAAGCCCCTTAACAACACCATGTTCAATAACCAACAATGGTCCTTCCAGCAAGACTCGGCGCCGGGTCATAAAGCTCGGTCCACGCAGTCTTGGTTGGAAACGAACGTTTCCGACTTCATCAGAACTGAAGACTGGCCGTCGTCTAGTCCCGATCTTAATCCGCTGGATTATGAGTTATGGTCAGTTTTAGAGAGTAGGGCTTGCTCTAAACGTCAAGATAATTTGGACTCCCTAAAACAATCCATACGATTGGCAGTGAAGAATTTTCCCATGGAAAGAGTGCGTGCTTCTATTGATAACTGGCCTCAACGTTTAAAGGACTGTATTGCAGCAAATGGAGACCACTTCGAATAAGCTTTTTATGTTTTAAATTGTTTTATATTTAAAATTATATTATTTTTTATTTTATATTAAACTTACATACTGTAAATGTGATAAATGTTATTTGCAATAGAAAAAATATTTTTTTATTTGTTACAGTATTTATGGCTAGACTAGGTATATCTTTGCGATCTCTGAATTTAAGCTGATTACTTATCAGTATAAGTGACCCACCATGTATAGCGTTTTCTCTGCTGAACGAGCTACCAATCTGGTGCTTACCAAAATTGAACATAAGGTGATGGGGTTTTAGCCAATGTTCAGTAATACACAAAATATCCACATTATTACAATAAAAAAATAACTCTATTTCTAAATCTTTACTCATAAAGCCTTAAATGTTTTGGTGAACCAGATTAATAACCTTACTGCTTAATTTGCAAGAGGTTGTCTCTATTGTCTTATCTCCACGAGACTTCCGCGAGAATTCTTGGTCGGGTCGGGGCTCTCTTGCACGTCACGGGTTGCCGCGGCGCGAGACCGGCGGGGTGAGGGTCGGGGAGTCGCGGGCGCGGGGATGCAGCCGTGTTCCGTTAGCTGCGCGACGTGAACGTAGAAATTTCAAATACCCCGCGCTACAGTCCCCCTTTACCCTTTGGTCCAGCTAACGTGCCCTCACAGCTGGACTAGTCTAGATACCTGCGCGGCTTACCATGCTTACGTTTTTAGCGAACCGGAGGTTCTACTTGACCGTTATAAGGCGTCAGGTTCGAAACGTGGAACCTCCCAACGTCCTCCCCCCAGTCTGGATGTTTTCTAGGCTATAAGTAGTGGGGCTTGCAATCCTCCCAATCCTGTAAGGGCCGTCACGACGCGGGATGAACTTTGCGAACTGTCCTAACTACAATCCTCGCGGCCTTAAACGTAACCGCGGAACTTACCAAGTGCCCATACGACAGCGAGGGCCTCACGTTCGGTCGTGGAGTAATTTCTCACGGCGCTGGTGAGAAGTCGGCTCGCATATTCAATCGGCCTCTCGTCTTGGCCCTCCCCCTGCATAAGAACTGCTCCAAGGCAATACGCACTACTATCAGTGCAGAGTACGTAAGGCTTCGATCCATCAGCCTGACGCAGTATGGGAGCGGTCACAAGAAGAGACTTGATGCGGTCGAAGGCCTCCTGTTGCTCGGCGTCCTATCGCCAGACACTGGACTTCATCAGCAGGTTCGTGAGAAGTCTCGCGACTTCTGCATAATTATTAATAAATCGTCGGCACCAACGCGACGTCTGCAAAAACATTTCAACTGCTTAACGTTCCTAGGGGCAGACATGTTATTGATAGCTGCCGTTTTATCCGGATTTACCTGGATAACGCCTGGTACGATAATGTGCCCCAGAAACTGAACAAACTTAAGTTAAGGGTAAATAGAGACAACTATTTACCCTTAACTTAAACATGGCTAGCCGATCGAAGACGACCTCCAGATCTGCCAGCTGCCTCTCGAAGGGTCCAGACGACAACAGGATCAGATCGTCTAAATAACAGAACAGCTCAACCCTTTGAAAAGTTAATCTTTTGAAAAGTTGCCCCCGAATTCCGTAGGCACATTGGTATTCGTTTAAATCTGAATGTCCCAAGCGGCGTCGTGAAGGCCGTTTTGTCCTAGTCTTCTGCGCAGACACTCACTTGGTGGTACCCAGAACGAAGGTCCAACATGGTCTCTGGTCTTGGTAGCATGCATCCTCAATGCGTGGGAGCGGGTATCGGTCTGGCTCTGTCACTGCGTTGAGCTTACGATAATCAATGCACAACCTCAGACTCCCGTCCTTCTTACCTACCAGTACAACGTTGGATGCTCAGGGTTACTCGCACTCTTCGATGACGTCATCTTGCAGCGGTTTCTCCAGTTCCTTCTGCAAGGCATTTCTCTTCGTCTGGGACATCCTATTCGGTGGACACGCAATGGGTTCTTGGTGTGGACTCACCTTTATTCGGTGCGTAGCAAACTCCGTGGGCGGTCCGTGGCGCGCGAACTGCGGCGCACGACTATCACCGAACGACTCGAGCTAACGTCGCTGCTCGGGGGTTAATTTACAACCTTCATCCGGGCGCAGCGTCAACTCCGACGGTGCGGCGTACATCAGCCCCGTGTCAGACGAGGCGGGCCGCTGTTTATCTACATCGCTCGCTCTAAGTACATAGGGGAAAGTGGTTACCCTTCGTACGCTTTTTAGATTTTATTTTTTTTAATTTATGATTAATAATCGAATTTATCTAGTTTATAAACCTAATTATAACAAATATTTTGTAGTTTGTTACTAAAAAGTCCGACACTATTATGTCAAAAGGTTATAGAGTTATAGTAATTTTTTTACAATAAGTTATTTGTACGAACTTGCCCCACGTACGGGGTACGTTCGTACAGTAGGTGGGGTACTTTCATACGCATGGGGTAGATTCATACAGGGTAATTAAAAAGCCTATTAAAGTCGTTAAATTTTTATTAATTTTTATAAAAATATGTATTTCTCAAAGAACTAACTAAATAATATTTGACTTGACTCATAGTCGATAAATCTTTATTTAGAACAATAACAAAACATTAAATCATTAATCCTTCGTTTACTTATTGATAATTCTAAGTTTACAATCAGTCTAAATGAGATCTTTACAATCACTTTCTATGAGATTGTTGTACAGTCTTTGACAATTAAAACTTAAAATAGGTAATCATACATTTTGATTGTTACATTTGAAGTTATTGCACATTATAATTATTTAAATTAACTGCAAAAGTAAAAAGTCTAGCCAGTCTAGCTGTACAGCCCGCTCTTGGTTCTGGATCAGGGAGGATCATGGCGACATCACTGATATACAGAGTGTGTATGTCTTCTAAAACAGGGAAAGAGAATGACCATGATGATCCCGGTTTCTTCCGAAGATAAGATATTTTCAGCTCTGTACTCGAATAGTGACTGAGAATTTTTCCGACGTAATAAACAACAGAACTCTTTTTTTCAAACTTTACCAAAACAAAACAATTATCTTTGATTTTCTCTGGTGTCACATTTAAATTATCATGCATACTACAATCATCAGTCTCTTCATTCGTTTCGAAATCTATTGGAGATGTTGAACTTTCACGTAAGCTAAATTGCGATCCTTCAGATTCCTCTGAATCTTCATCACTTTCTATTTGTTTTGCTTTCTTTTTCTTTTGTCTTGAATTAAGTTCCTTCAAACTACGTTTCACTGCTTTGGCTCTGGCTTACCTTTCCTGTTCTATTTTTTTCAATTCTTTCTGTCTATATC